GCCATTCATCACCAAGCAATCATCCTATTCGCATTCTCGCGCTTTCCAACATATACTATTCTCTTACCTCCCGACCGGACCCAATGACCACCGAACCGTGAAATTAAGTCAGCAATGAATCGACAAAGGCGGTAACAACGCGATAAAGACATTTTGTTCCACGCCCAGTCTTGCAACCTCTGCGACCCGTTCTCCATCACTGCCATCATCCCTTACAGCTGGGCAAAACACTACTTGGGGCTCTCTCTTAAGACTTCGCCTCTCTTGTCAACATTGCCCCCTGGCTCTCGATCTAGCCTGCCTCGAGATAATAATAAAAATCCGTTCATTATTACTGCGTCCCTATCTAGAACTCTTCCGGCACTGCAGACGCGTCGAGATCCCACCATCATTGCCGCCAGCTTGCGCTTCCCAGTCTCTGCCTTCTGCACACCAGAACACCGACTGCTCCGCCACAGGCATTTCTCCGGAACCTGCGACTCCCGAATTGCCGACCGTGCAGAAGACTCAAGTTGGCCTGGAGTGGGATTGACAATATGGCGTAAGTCCCCGTACTGAGCAGTGGCGGAGTGAGAATTGACGATTTGCCCTTAGGAATCTCGGATCAGCCTTCCGCTCGTTTTGGCATACTATGACCAGTTATGACAGACGTAGGTTACCATGTTGAAAGAACCAAGGCAGACGTGGAAGAAATATGAATAAGATTGCTAAAAGTAAATTGCATGCAGACTCGAACTATGATGCCCCCCATCGGACAGGTCGCCACGTGCCCCTGAACCGCCAAAGCACACTGACATCGGTTGCTACCGCCTCGGAATCTCGCGCCGACATCACATCCCCTTATCAAGATGAGTTGGGTCGGTTATCCAACCAGGCAGATGGAACTGCATATACGGGTGCCGGCATGCCCTCTGCGTCCCCACCCTCCCACACCTCCAATGGCCCTTATTCGCCCGGCTTGAGGTCGTTGAACGCACGGAGGGCGAGCTCAAGAGACGATGGCTTCGAAACCGTGAGCAGTTCTGGCGACATTCCGATGCAATCCTTTGCCGATGGTGCCCCCCCAGCGCCTCCTGTTGGCCACTCGTGGAAGCGCATAGATCGGTGGGCCGAAGAAAACTACCCTGAGCTTTTCGACCAGCTCTGCGAGGGTTGCACGGACAATGACTTGACTGAGCTTGAGCACCAGCTCGATTGCTCACTGCCGCAGGACTTGAGAGATTCTCTCATGGTTCACGACGGGCAGGAGCGGGGTGGTAACCCCACTGGAATCATCTTCTCCTCCATGCTTCTCGACTGTGAAGAAATAGTGCAAGAATGGGATCAGTGGCGGCGAGTAAATCAACAGTACCTGCTCGAGACTACAGTGGCAAAACCCGCGGTTCCATCCAAGGCATTTGGTGGGAGTAGTGAGGCATCATCTTCCCGGTCAGCACCTGGGTCCCCAGGCTCCCAGAAAGGCTCGTGGCGGCAAGATCTTCAGGCCCGTCAAGAATCGGTTCCCGCCGGCGCTATCCAGCGCGCCTACGCACATCCGGCTTGGGTCCCCCTCGTACGGGATTGGGGTGGAAACAACCTAGCGGTAGACCTGTCACCTGGCCCGACTGGAATATGGGGGCAAATTATCCTATTCGGGCGAGACTACGATACCAAATATGTTGTTGCCAGATCGTGGGGCTCTTTCCTTGCCATTCTCGCAGACGATCTGAACAGCGGCAAATGGTTCGTCGACGAGGATAACAACGATCTCAAACTACGCGAGTTTAAAACCACCCGCGTCGAGCCCTCGTATTTCGATATTCTGCGTTGGCGGATGGACCAAAAACATGGCCGTACTGCGAAGGCCGCTGCAAAGCGTAGGTCTGGCGTGCCAGGAGGTACTGCGTCCCCTGGTGGTTCTCCTTACTCCACCCCCGTTGACGCCAATGGCGACGCCCGTGGGAGATCATTACAGCGACTGAGTAGTCCATCGCCACTGGTCAGTCCTGCTCGCGTTGGCTTCGGGAAGTCCAGCACGCTTGCACGAGTCGCGGAAGAATCAGGAAGCTCGGATCCGAAACTTATTACAAACGGCATCAAGGAGGACAAGCTCGTCGAAATTGAAACTCCAAACGCACCAAACTATGCCAAGCTGGTCATTCCACAAGATGTTGCACCCGAGACCAAGGGCAAAGAATCGTCCTCATCGAGGGCGGAGGGAGATTCACTAAATGGCCACACCGACGACATTGAAGGGGGAATGAAAACCATAGAGATTTGACGAGAGTTCCGCGACGAAAGCAATGATAGCCTATGTTCCACGACCAATACATTTCTAGAAAAGAGCGGCGTTCGAGGCGTCTGATTTAGCAAACGTTCCGCGAGCATTACCTTGCGGATGCCTCTGGGGTGTTTCTCATCACTTGCTCCACAACACCATCGGTATTCTGGCGCACTGCCTGTTCTCGCGATGATTCAGATTCGTGGCACCTAGGTCTAGCAGCCCTTCAGTTCGCCTGTGGAATTAATTCCAGACACACTCATCCGACTTCGAGGTGACTAGGCTAGCAAGGGCCCAATGCTGTGGTGGCTTCTTCATTTCTTGTAACAAAACCGTATTTGTCTAGTTTGCTCGACGAAACTTGACCACTTGGGGCCAGCTGTCGCCAAAGAATCGTTGGGGCTCCATATGAAGGAACAGAACACCGACTCGGCGGGCCGTTTGGGGGAAGCGCCCAACGGCGACCTGTACAAAGAAGAGGAACGGAGGGCGTTACTATTACTTTTTATTTATTTTTCACTCTCAGCGATCATTGTGCGGATTAATAGATTCGACGGGTCGTTCCGCGCCGTCGTCAAGGCTCGCATCGGGAGGCGTCGGTGGCAACAAATATACAGTCGCTTCTTCGGCGGGTGGCTAGCACAAACCACATGCCCATGAAGAAGAAGTTGCAATGGTGGAGCGCGTAATTGGATTGCACTACTTATTTCGTAAAAATATAATGCAATAACCGAATGAGTGTCAGGATCTAGATTCCAATCATCATGGTGGCCTAGGTCGCTCGCTGCGTGTTGAGTCGTTATATCGAAGAGGTTTCGTCCGTCGCTCATCAGGGGTAGGCAGTGACGATATCACGTGACGTAAGGGGGTAGCTTGCTATGCTTCCCTTGGTGTTTTCTTCCAATCCATGTTAGCGCCGTTGAGTTGCCAAGGCCAATACAGTATTAATATCGTGCCTAGCCTAATTGGTACAGTACAGTAAAAGCGTCATCAGCCGTCTCCCGACCCGAGTTATTGATCACCCATGCTTGCTGCATCTCATTTCATCTCTTCGCATCCTCGACAACCACGCCGTCTAGTGTACGATACTTTATACGATCCCGCGCTAGCTACATCCTACCAGCCTTCCCCAGGCCCTGAGGCTCCTAGAGCCCAGCCGCGAATACCGAACCCGCGAGCACCGAACCCGCGAATCTCCCATTTAAACGCGACATCTTGAGCATCATGGAGGAGGAGCGTCTCTGGAAGTTTGGCAAGCCGGCCTGGCTCAACAGCGCCTGGGCGCGCAACGCCGGCGTCTACGCAGCCGGCGCTCTGGTTCGTCTTCTTCTCCCCTCTCTGCCGCCCTGCATCTCTCCCTCCTCAGCGAGTCGCCGCCGCCGCCTCCTCCTCCTCCTCCCCTTGCGTCAGCATGCCTTCATGCGAACGCCTTTCCATCTACATGCCGCGCAATCGACGGGTTAACTCATGATATGTTCTGACCGTCCGCATTCCTTAGTTCTCTCTCGCCTTCTACGTCCTCATCGACGCCGCCGTGTGGTCGAAGTCGCCGCTGAACATGTCGGACGTGCATGTGACCTTCATCGACTGGCTGCCCTTCATCTTCAGCTCGCTCGGCATGCTCATCATCAACTCGGTCGAGAAGGCGCGGCTCTCGGCCGACTCGTTCAGCTACTCGGGGTCGGGCGTCGCCTGGAAGGCCCGCGTCGTGCTGTTCCTGGGCTTCGCGGCCCTCGCCGGCGGCATGGCGGGCGGCGTCGTCGTCTTCGTCCTCAAGTTCGCCGTCCAGCAGGTCGCGTGGCCCATGATGGGCATGGGCGTCGAGAACATCGTCGCCAACGGCCTCGTCGGCGTCTCCTCCGTCGTCCTGTGGGTCAGCCAGAACATGGAGGACGAGTACAGCTACAACCTGGCTTTGTGAGCGGGATACGGCAGTCATATATGGGCTTCTTCTTCTTCTTCCTTTTTTTTGGTTCTTCATGTGGTTGCGCGGGGCGCTTGCGTCTAGGCCGAAGGATGGTTACATATTTCATGCGCAGAATTGGCTGGAATCTTTTTAAGCGTAGCATGGTGAAGTAGCTAGCTAGTAAGATTGTTCTGACCGAAACTTATGCTCCCCTTTGAGAGCTGGATGGGTACACACTCCTGCCACCCCTTGCAACATGCAACACGGAGAGGTTGGGTAGGAGGCTGTGCCAGGGAGATTATAATGCTGTTTTCCAGGTCACGATCTAACTACCTCGTACAATGAGTCTATGATTTCCATAGGCCTGACTGAACTTCGAATGTCTGCATTCGTTATTATATAACGTTCACCGACGCTTAACATATGACGAATCTATACATGGTATATCTTTAGTTGTGCATAGGATATCCCGCAACGAAACTAATTCACTGGCAAAATACTAGCCCTGGCCACCCCCAAAGGCGCCAGGAGAGCTTTGCGAGGCTTGGTTGCAAAGATCGGTGTAGTAATTGTGGCGAGCTAGGCAGGTAGGGCGTTCGTTCTGGTTGGAATCTTACAATAGCAATAGGTACTGTCGTCGAATTTACCCAGCTCGTGAATTACAACCGCGGGTGAGTGAGTATGGTAAGTGCAGGCCCAGTAAGTAAGGGCTATTGAGTAGGAACTGTGGGCGAGTTCGTTTATTTATGTTCCAAGCTATCCGCGGTTACGGTGCAAAAAGCGAGGCATGATTTCAAAAATCATGGAGTCGACGAAGAAAAAGGCTGTCGCCGCTGTCCAAGGTGAGGATCGAACTCACGACTTCCGCATTGCTACCATGCTATTTCGCACAAATTTGCCAAACAGTATAAGAACGGCACGATACCACTTCGTCACTCGGACTCGTCATCTTTTGCATCGTGCAACTTTATTAACAGACTAAAGGTCGTTAGCCAAGGAAGAACTGAGGAACTTCCCGATCATTCATCTACCAGGACATCTATCGCGGCAGTTTGAACAAGCCACCAGCGCCGGGTTCACTGCTTATACGGATAGCGAAATATTATATAGCAAATTACTTGATCAGTTAAGAACGTGGAGGGAGAGAGGCGAAAGTGGGCGCGTAGTAAATAAAACCCCCTAGGTATTGTACTGTATCTTACTACCTTTGTTTTGAAGAAGGGTTCCTTGCGTTAACAAGGATCTGGAATCATCGCACGAGTTAGACGGACATTTTGTCGGCGTCTGGGTCGATACAGTGAGAATTATAGGACGGGCGAGGACTAGGATACGCCGGCGATGACGAGGCTCTCGTCAATTTCATATGCATCAATATCCTTATCCTATTTGTAAGGCGTGTGGTCAGTCAGCCTTGTATGCCTCGACCATGAGCTACTGGAATATGAAAAGAGTGTATACGAAAGCATCAACGCACCTATTACATGAGGGGCTGCAAAATCTCACACGCAGTGATGCCGTCACCGTTGTGCTTCTTACAACATGATGATAATAAAGACGCTACGTTACCGGCCGAGCTGGGGCGGGCTCCGGTACTAGCGACTCATAACCAACCGAAATGATCCCATCTAGCACGTTCAATAGTTTCTATTATATAACTCTTGCCGTCCTCCTTGGATGTCTTCGTACATAGTCTTGAATATAGCACCATGTCTCAGAGCAACAGAGCAGGATAATTGATAGGTAAATTCATTTCTATGTCTGTTGCAAATCAAACACGAGCCACAGGGAGGCTCTACTAGTCCATGCTCAAATCGTTCATCCACCTAGGAAGGTGAAATTTCGTATTCTCATAGACCAGAAACGTGACCCAAGTTGCGGGCATGACCCTTACCACGCCGGGGATAATGCCCCGGTAAAAGCCTCGCCATCCCTCCTCCGTCCACGTCCTCTTCACGACGCCTCGAATACCTCGTCCAAACCGTTCCTCGGCATCATAATTCTGAAGACGGCTTCGGATGACTTGATAGGGGTATGTGACTGCACCGGCTACTAGCTTGGAAACACTCGAGATGATCAGCGTAGCGTCGTTGCCCATCCGCTGCCGCCCTTGGTCGTCTGGACGACTCGTCTCCCCAGTTCCCCCCCGCCATTTTCTAATGTACATTTGTTTGAGAGGATCATAGACGGCAAACTGCACGGCGCCGTGAGAAACGCCGAAGAGCCCAATTCCCAGGCCACGGTAGAAGCCCCGCCAGCCCTCGGTCCGCCAAAGTTGCGCAGCGCCGGCCCACATGCTTGGATAGGCACCGGCGGCACCGCGATCAGAAGATAGCATGCGCGTCTTCAGAACCCAGACGGGATTGGTGAGGACTTGGGTGAACATGCCCGCCACGCCGGACGCGACGAAGTAGTCCTGGGGCGTGAGCGCGGCAACGCTGTCGGCGGGCGACCGACCCTTCAGGGCCATGATGGCATGCTCGGCGCGAGCCTTGAAAAAGAAGAACGAGGCCCAACTCGAGCCGTTCCCGAGCAAGTTCGGGACCAGGCCGCGGTAGAGAGCGGCGACGGGGTGGGGCGTCCTCGTCAGCTGGCGAATGACGGAGACCGTGGTCAGAGCTGGGGAGGTCGCGCCTTGGCTGCGGTGTACTGGCTTGGGGTGAGCGTAGTCGACGACGACGGCGGCGGCGGCGGGGGGGCAGCCTGGGCGGGTAGGCACATACTTTGCATGCGAGTCTTGACAATGTCCAGGGGATGAACTACAAGGGTAGCGACCGAACCAGCAGTCAAGCCGGCGATGGTCTCGACGTAGGCGGGAGAGATGACCGCATCGTGGCGTGTCATAGAGCCGAGTTTTACAAAAACCCAGGACCGATTTATTTACATCATGTGTCAGAATACGGTCGCTGAGTCCCGGTAAGGACGTTGTGGGGGTGGAATGTATTTTGAAGCTTTGCACTTTTCTCGTGAGAGAGAGGGTCCCATGTAGAGCCAGCTAGCGTAGACATGAATATTTGAACATACCTACATGTATCCGATAGTGGCATAAAAACAAGTATTGCAGAAAGTGAGTTACACTAGGCACATATATGTAGGTAGCCATAGTGCCGTGCACCTCCCTGTGTACAGTCAAAGAATGTAGGTACATGTAGGTATCAAGATAAATGAACTGGCGATACAACATCAAAACCCAACCCAAAAAGAAAATCTATTAATTCGGGTTTCTCTCTCCTTCTCTTCCAGACTTGATATCAGCTTATCTAAAAAGTCATGGCGACAGTAGCAGCGGCAACGACTGATACCACAGCACCTACGAAAACAGAGGGCACTTCGGGAACTGCCGATACTCATCAACTGTCAATACTGGTCGAGTTCACGTATGATGCTGCCATATTCGATAAGAGACTCTTCTCCATCCGCCTCGGGCGCGCCCAGCCTTGCCGCTGATCAGGATTCGTTAGTGGCGGTTTAGAGATGCTGTTCTCAGACCAACGCCGACATGCGCTCCTCATGCCGGCGATCGACAAAAACGACAAGCCCGTGACCATCGCTTATCTCATAGAATACCTCTGCGAGAACACGATGAGAGATACCCGAAAGGAGTTGTTTGTCCTCGACGATCATCTGTAGGTGATCCCGAGCGCAACCCAGCAGCCTCCCTCATCCCTCTCGGCCTTGGGCGCTCCAGATAGAAGAGGGAGACCTGTGAGAATAAGCCCCGACTGACCGAGCTTCACAGGCGTCCGGGTATCCTGGTTTTAATCAACGACGCCGACTGGGAGCTAGAGGGAGAGGAGGCCTATGAGATCCAAGACGGCGACAACATTTTATTTGTCTCAACGCTGCACGGAGGTTAAGCTAGCCGTAGTTGGCACGGTGGCCACCGCCAGATCCGTGTCATTATCAAATGGCCTAGCCTACCTTATCTACTCGTTCATCTTTTCGCTCCCGCAAGCAGTAAGGATGAGCCTGGGTACAAGCTGGGTTTGGCGCTCCGTGGCTCCCACCTCACGCGCCGTCATCCGGGAATGGAGCGCGCTGTCTGTTCCGCACAATCACACGTTCCTATACTCTACCTACCTATTATTACCCCACGACTCTGTATGTGAAACAGGGTTAATTGATCGGGATAATATACACCATGCGTTGAGAAGCAAGATTTGCGGCTGCTACCTGGACTGTACATGCTACCTAGGTATTCCAAAATATCCATGGGCGAAGTGACCAACAAGATCCATGCGCCCGAGACCACATTTCGGCTATTCATGGACCGATTCTCCCCATGTCAAACCCTCCCAACCTAGTGTCTGCATGCATGTATATCTCCGAAAACCGATCTGTTGCGGGTATTTGAGATTGTGACGCCCGCCAAATCTCCTCCCGTATCGCCGTGCTTGCAGCAATATGTACGTAGGTTATAGGTGTGCGTATGGGTTCGTGTATATGACCGGGGGGTCCTGCTGGATTCTGGTTCGACACCTTCAGCTTGGCCCCGTTCCATCGATCGCAATCTTCTTCCTTAGCGCCCCGATCTGCCGTGTCTATCCAAATAGGCGACTCGCAGGAAACCAAAATAGAGATCCAGCAAAGCGAAGCGGGAGCGAACCGACAGGATAGGAAACAACAAGAAGGCGCCCCATACCTACTAGGGCTATTGAGACGACAAGAACCCACGTATTACTAGTCTATGGCTACTCTGAGTTATACCGTTATACCCGACACCTCCCATGCATGCGTTTTGCTGTTCATTTCTTGGCGACGCGTCGCATAGTGAGCTGATGACGAGGCAAGCTACTCAAGCGCGTTAAGCTTGCTTGTATGAGCCCCCTTCCTCCCTTCTCAGCCATTGTAATAGAATACTCAAGAGATGTACTGTAGAACTGTGTTTGCAGATGGCGGGTCATGAGATAGAGTATCATCAGGGAACGGCAACTCCCGCGCCACGGATGATCCCGAACGGGAGCCTGTTTGACAAAGTGTTAGTTAGGTGGGTGAAAACGAGGCCGGTCGGGTCAGTCTTTACTTTCCACGCCGGTTGAGGCAGAAATGTCAACCGTAGTATTAACATAATCACCATGCGTAGATGGCATCGCTTCCACCGTTTCTGATCTGACCTGTTACCTATGTACGACAAACTGAATTGGAGTTGTATTCAAGCACGAGTACTGACAGCGCATGGGGAAATCCAGCAGACTTGAATGCTCGCTGCTCCTACGCGAGCGCCTAATACCTATACGACGAAGACAATCCTAGCTAGCACTACCTACTGCCAGTTCCTCCTTCTGCTCGGTGGATCACCCAAACAACACGCACACCCCCTTTCTCCTTCCTCCCACTCCCCTTCATCCGTTTTCATATGCAGCCGCCACATGCATCTCGGAACGAAAAGGCGAACAACAAACCAATTAAATCAAACAGCCAACCCTATTTTCGAGATACACAATAAACAGAGCCTGACAAACCATAGATAGGGAAAAAAGGAGCGGCCGGGCGGGGCGGGGCGGGGGGGGCGGGGGGGGGCGTGGGCGGGGTTGGTGGGTAGTGT